CATAAGCAATTTATGCATGGCGATAGTTTTCGCACACGAACCCCACACGCACACAGACACAGACACACACACACACACACACACACACACACACATGCTGGGAAAGCTGCAAACATTTTGGTTAACGAGACTTTTAATCTGTCCAAAGGTATTTAAAGTTGGCTAAGCCCCAACACTGACTGACTTTTATGGTTACGGAGCAAGTGTCAAAATGTTTGTTGACGACAATGACCAACGCCCCTTCCGCAACGACGCCAAGCCAAGAACAACATGAGTGGTAATTTATTTTGCCTTTGCCTTTGCCGGCAGCAGCAGCAGCAGCAGCATCAGCATCAGCAGCAGCAGCAGGGCGACCACTATCCACACCAACGCCCATGGAGCACAAAGGACAAGCGAAGGTGGTCCTGGAATGCGGACCCAAACGACCGCCCACACACACACACACACACTCGCAGGCAGATGCAGGAGGAGTGGAGGGACATTAGGCGCTAATCTTGATATTGTGTACAGTGCGAGCCAGGGGCAGTCCCAGTCATCTGGCAGTGACGTGGAACGGTGGTGGCAGGAGGCCGCCTGCTGCTAGGTTAAGCAATCGGTGGAGCAACCGTCCGCATATGATGAACCCAGCCACGCCCCCAACCAGGGACCAGATGGATGACAGGATGGCAGGATGGCAGGATGACACGACGAAGGACACGCCCGGGCAGGAGATTTAATTGAGCAGGCAACCGACCATGACCATAAAGTTGGGACCAACGATGCCCCCATCTTTTGACCCTGATTCCACGAGTCGACATTGGCTGAGGCACCGCCAAAATGGCAAATCAGCTGAGCCCGGGCCCATTATGTCCTTTCATTTGGTTGTGGCAGTGCGGCTTCTGTTTCCAATCCTTCAGTGGCTGAAGTTTCTAAACTGTTGGTTAAGTAACTTCGGGATTAATTTAAAACGTGTAAAGACGAATCGCTCACGGACGTGCGCTTCAATGATGTGTGTGCGGGTGTGCGGGTGCGCGGGTGGGTGGGTGTGCCAATGTGTGTCCTTGATGTATCACTTCCGCTGTCTGTTAACTTACGAGTGCGCCATAAATACGCTTGGCGGCCAAGAGCACACGCGCCAGGCGCTCCATTGCCGCTGCAGAGCGACAGAGATGCGGAGAGGCAGCCAAAACCATTTGATAGCAACACGTCTTTCTGGTATTTTCACACGCTTGAGCATCGCATTGGATTCAACGTCACGTTTTAGTGTCGCCCCAGTTCCACTCCACGCCATTCCTTGCCATTCCACAGCTCCACTCCACGCGCAGCTCCAAAAGCACCAGCCCACCGCCGCCGAATGGCGACGCCTAATATGCTTATGCTGAATGCCGGCCAACTGTCTGCCATCCAGCAGCCGGCAGCCAGCAGCCAGCAGCCAAAAGTGGCAAACTAGTGGTGGGAGGCGAATTGAACCCTTTTCGTTTTCCGGCTTGAAGTGGCAGCCCCGCCACTCCAGTGACCACGTGCCGCGCCGCACATCCACCCACCCACATAGACAGTGACACTGACACACACGCACGGCGCCCGTCAATGTTTATATTTCAACTACAATATTATTTTCACTTTTAGACAGACAAGCGGGTAACCAAAGCACACATTTAGTTTATTTTGGAAATTATAATAAGCCACTTTGTGGCGTCGACGCCCGAAATCCCCTCCAGGATATCACTGGCATCGGGTCTGCAGTTCCCCCCGCCTGCCTGACAAACTTATTCCACATTGGACGTGCCGTGAGCTGTGTGCTGACTTCTGACTTCTGTCACTGGCAAATATAGACATTTTCGGAGCATGCACTCATAGTTTGTGAAGCCTTTGTCGAGCACTCGAGCCCTTGATTCGCCCTTGGTCCGCCCTTGGTCCGCCCTTGGGTGGCTGCCCCATGTGGCATGAGGCGCTGGGGCGCTGGGGCGCTGAGGCGCGTATCTATGACCGCTCTTAATAAGATAAGCCGCGACCGTGCTGCAACTAATGTAATTTGGCGGACAGGGACGAGGCCAACTTGGAGTGCAGCCGACAGCATTTCCAAATTCAATCAGCCGTGGAAAAATTCCAGAGTGCATCAGAGCAGCCGGGGGCTTTGGGGGAAAAAATGTAATTAAGCAAGGAGCGCAGGAGAGCACGGCATGCTCCAAAGGTGGGGCACCGCCACATCCGCGTCCTCGCAAGGATGGCCGGGCGACTCTGGCCGGAGCGAAATGACAGGGATAATTAGGATTATGCTCATTACTCTGCTCCTTTCGAGCGGAAAAGTAATTTGCAGCGGCCAAGATGTCCGCGATGTCCGAGATGCGCCTCCAGATTGAGCTAATGGTCGAATCGAATGGAGAGATCGGTTGGTTCCACCATCATACCAGTGCTACAGTTCGCCATCGCTGACCTTCAGCGGCTGACCCGAATGGAGTTCGAAATGAGAAATACTGAAGTATCGAGTGCTGCCCCACAGCTCCTCCCCTCGCTGGCGTGACCCACAACTTTTATCATAAATTTGAGAGGCCACACAAGTTAAAGTGGGTTGCCGGGCTAATGTAAATATATCGCCTTCCTGGCCCACTGCCACCTGATCATCATCATCGTCATCGCCAGCTCCCTCCCAAACGCACCAAGCCGAACCGAACCGCACCGCGCCGCACCGAACCGAACCGGTTTTTAAATTCTCGCACATGAAGTCTTTAAGCCATCCGCAGTTCGATTTCCCAGCCCGGGGCTATATCACGGTGCAAAAGTTACCCCGCGGGTGGTATAATTTCAATTTCCATTTCCCCTGCAGCGCTCCTCCGCTCCGCTCATGTCCCCTGACTCCTGACTCCTGGCTGCTGACTCCTGACTCCTGACTCCCCGGTTCGCGGCGGCTTAAGCACTGTTTATGCCTGTTAAATGCGAATCAGACGAAGGTCAACCGGATATCAAGCCCACTTAGCTTCATCCGGCTGAGTCCCGAATCCTTGCGCAAGGCTCTCTCAGGCTGAGGGCTTTTAGTTGACAGCTAACAGCTAACTGGTAAAGTCCGCAGTCCGGATTCCGGATTCCGGATTTTGCATTTTGCATTCCGGACTCTGCAGTCTGTTGCTTGAATTCTGGACCCTGGATACTGTACACTGGATACTGCACACTGGATACTGTACACTGGATACTGGATACTGGATACTGCATACTGGCTACTGGAGTGGCGACAATTACCCCGGACTAACCAGGACTTGCAATGTCTGTCGGCCGTTGACAGGCGGAATCAAATGTGTCATCAAGTGGCTCTGCCCCGTGCTGCCGGCTGCTTTGTTGGTTTGCTGTTCTGCTGTTCTGCTGGTCGGTCTGCCATATGAATAGTTAATGACTCGTACGGCAGACTCACACGAGGGTTGGCGTGGACGGTGCCGGCCTTGTCCTTGCCGGAGCCACCGACACGGACGGGCACGGACAATGGAGCACTGGAGCACTGGAGATGGCGGCGTGGGGGACGGTGGAATTGTGCGGTAAAGTCTTACAGTGCAGTTTATGCAAAATTGCCGATAGCAATTTGCAAATTTAATGGCGTAAACAAATTCAATCAATGTATGCAAACAAATGCAGGTGGGGGGAGCGGCGGATGGCCAAGGGGATTACGATTACCATAGCCCAGCGGTGATGCAGTTGCTCCGCAACTTCACAGCTCCACGATCGAGTGCGTTTTAGTTAAAACTGCAAAAGGCAACAATAATCAATGCTCGGCATCGTCTGCGGCGATAAGTAATACGAAGAGCACACTCCTGCAGGCCCGCCCATGTCCGTGCACATCTCTGCACGACTCTGCACGTCTCTGCATGCCTGTGCATGTCTGTGTGGCTTGTCTGGCGGTCTGCTATCTGAGGGCAGTCAGGTGCCATAATTGTTTGGCCGGTGACAACTGCTCCCCGCTGCCACCCACCTGGACTCCTGGGGAACTTGTGCAGCTGCTACTCCTGCTGCCCTTCGCTTACCTCGTCTCGAAATCCGATTCAGATTTGCCGCCAACTGCTCATCGAATAAATTTCGGTGTTTTGGACACGCACACACACAAAGTGCACTGCATACTTTGTCGGGGCTTTTAATTGTGGAGTAAAAATGTGGAGCCGACTCGAATTCGCCAACACCCTCCATCCGCAGGCGTTAAGAGGGAAGTGGCCGGAAAAAGTGGGTCGCATGGTGAGAAATGGGTACCATTTTTTGTCCTGCCGCACAAATTTGTCTTTAGTAAGCGGGCGAAATGACAAGTCAACTTAAAAACTTGGCCAAGGCAGCCGGAAGTCATCACACACTGGGCCCAAACCCAACTGGGATGGTAGGAAAACGTGTCTGCGCTGGAACTGCTGCGACTTGAGGCATGGCACCACTGTGCTCGCTGCTCGGAGTTCTTGAGGCAGCCTGCTGTGCGACTCCTCGAACCATCTACCACAGAAGGGTTCCGTGGTGAGCTGGGCTGGAGCGGGGGCAGCGTCTTGTAAATTATTGCAAAAAGCAGGCTGCAAATTAATGATAACGACCCGGTCGACACCTTCACCCGGCCGCCGCCAAGTGCCCGCCACACACAGAGCAGGACGCGCGGAGGGAGAGGCAGGCATCCCGGCGAGGCAGCGACCTAAGTGACATGAAACAACCAACTACTTAGTGTAGTGTGCAGGGGAAACACTCGGAAAAACTTAAGTACACATAGGCACATGGTCGTGTGTGGCTTCCTTTTGGGGCCGGACTGCCTGGGCTCCAGCGAGTGCAGTTCGCAGCTGGGATAAAGAAACGCTTCCTGCTGCTCCACACGCACACTTGTGATAGCCAGTTATTTATGAAGGAGACTTTTTCGTCAGCTATCAGATGGCTGCCAAACGCTATCTTCCGGCGACAGTGCGTCCATTTCCCACCGCCTTGGGTTCCATTTCCACGAAATACACACATACATATGTACGTGTACATGTAAGTCACTCAGTCAGTGTCAGATTTCTATAGGAAAACGACTCGAAATGTGTCCGTCAAAATTTGTTGTATGTATACTGCTGATTGCTGTAGGTGCCGAGTCGGGCTCGGAATCGCAGGCAAGCCAGGCGCAAGCGACGCCCAGTCCGTCGGACTTTCAGTTCCTGATCACCGGTGGCTATCGCCCGGAAACCAACGACCTGGTCAAGTACGTGGTCTCGCTGCGCATGGGCAAGCCAAAGAAGTTCTTCGGCGACAACCACTACTGCGCGGGTGTGGTCTTCAGCCAGCGGGCCATTCTCACGGCGGCCCATTGCATGTTCAGCAAGTGAGTACGGCAAGTGCAGTGGGTTTTTGGGAGGTGCTGATCCGTGGACTACCCCTAGTCGCCGCAAGCTGAAGCCCAAGGGGCTGGTGGTCGTTGCTGGGACGCCAAAGCGGCTGGTCAAGAGCAGCACAACGCAGATTATGGAGGCCAAGCAGCTGCTGCCGCATCCCAAGTACAATAAGGGCAAGTCGCATAAGTACGACGTAGGACTGATCCTGTTGAAGGAGGATCTCAGTCTGGGGGATACCGTTGCCACAATAGCTCTGAACACCAAGGCTCCGGTGGCCGGCATCAAGTGCTCCATCCTCGGCTGGGGCACGGTCATCCAGGTCAGCATCGCTTGCGACGGAACTTGTGGTACCTTGTGTGTTTAAGCTTGTGTCTCATCCGTTTCCGCAGTTTGGCCCACTGCCGGATGAGGCTATCAACGGCGATCTGCAGATCCTGCCGGATACCTTCTGCGAGAACCTGATGGGCTGGTCCAGCGTGGGCATGCTCTGCGCCAGCGACAAGGACAGCTCCGATGTGGACAGCTGTCAGGGTGACTCGGGCGGACCGCTCATCTGTGACAACATGTTGACGGGCATCGTTTCCTTCGGCATAGGTTGCGGCGAGCCCAATTCGGCTGGGATCTACACCGATATCTACCACTTCCGGGACTGGATCACCGAGAACTCCTGCCCCCAAGGCACACGGCCTGCGTGGACGCTGTGGCTGCTGCTGCTCTTGCTGCTCCTGCTGCTGGTCGGGGAGCCGGCTGGTACAACTTGTTAACCTGCCAGCCTGCAAACCTCCGAGCCTGCATGCGACAAAACCAAAATTGACTAAAACCAGCGGGCATGGCCTGTCATCCATGGATGTGGAGGTGGGCATGCAGGCAGGCAACGAAGGCGGTTGCCAAACGAGGCCATGGCGATGACGATGACGATGGCGATGGCGATGGCGAATTGTGGTGCATGCCGCGCCATTACCCGCGCACACAAACGCACTTGCCGTTGGGTGGGCGCACGGTTTATGGTTACGCTGATGCAGATCCACATCCACTGTTTGTGACAGCAATTATCGCATCACCACCGAGGACATTCCCCTGCCAGGTAGCCGGCCACAGGGCACACGCATGGCAGCGGGCAGCGGGCAGCGGGCAGCGAAGACAATATGCAACAATTCGCGCCGGTTTGTTTGGACACTCGCCAACTGTTGATTAGGCCAATTAGGGGCGGCCAATCTTCTGCCAATGGTACCTGAGACTGCCAGGTGACCCATGGCCCAGGGCCAACGAGCCCCAAAACGAATCTCGGTTGGAAATCAGTGCGGCAGCATGTTGATTTGATATCAGCAATGCAATTAGTAATCGCACACGCACACTCCAATCCCTGGCACATAAAGTACGCTGGAAATCCTCGAGACGGAGTCCCCAGCCACACAAGTCACGAACGTGTCCCGTGCCCAGAGTAGGATCCGTTCCTCCTCGCCGCCAGACGACAAAACAATGTGGAATTGATGTGGGACGCCGAGGGACGAGCCCAGCTGACTGCCCCATCTCGCCCAGAGGCGGGCCACCAGACCAGGCCACACCAGACCAGACTATACCAGACCAGACCAGACCATAACAGAACAGTCCAGAGACAGGCTTACAGACATTCAGACACTCGCAATCAGGTTTGTCATTTCACAGTCGTATTGTGTGCCATTCGAGTGTTCATAATGAACTTAATCGCGTATGTTTATTGCTCACTTTGCCACGGCTCCGCTCCGCTCTGTTCGTCCTGCCCAGCCTGGTCCTTCGTAGCCAGCTCCAGCTCCAGCTCCATCTCCACCCCATCCCCATCCACACGCTGCCCAACAAGTTGTTGTGTTCTTGGCCTCGTGGCGGAGTCGACACTTTATCATTTTGTCACGCTTCTTGTTTACCAAGTTGGCTCGTCAGCGCTCTCGTTCTTCTGCATATTGATTCAGCATTGTTGTTTCCCTTGCCCCACATGTCCGCCTGTGTGTTTAGCTAGTGTGTGTCCTGTTCCTGGAATGTCCTGGCCGGCTCTGGTGCTGCTGTTTTTGCGCCCCCGGCCGTAAATTGTTTGCATATATTAGACACATGCCTTAAATTGCATTTCAAGGGAAGTTCATTTGAGAATAATTGCAGTTAAACTTGACATCGCAGTTGTCTGATTGCGGAGCGCCATGCGGAGTGAGTCCAGTGACTAGACCTGGCCCAGATGGGCGTCATTTCATTCCATCTTCACATTTTGTCTAAGCCGACCAGTCTGGTCGTTCAACTCCGCCACCTGGACGCGGTGCACAGCCGGACGGAGTCCGTATCCGAGCCGTACAAGCGGCTTAGTCGCGGCGCAGAGGGACTCTCGCCTGCTGACAAATCGACGGCTAAGCTGCAACGCCAACACGTCGACCGCAGGCGCAGGCTGTTCCACCAGGACCAGCAGGAGCACCAGCCAGGCAGCCGGGCAGCCAGGAGCAGGACTCGCGTCCCAGAGCCCACCGAAATCACTATCAATTTGCGTTTGTAAATACATTTTAATGGCATTGCAAAGTGAGGCTGGGCTGATCCCTGAGCACCGCCTGGCTAACCCAACCTCCCAGCCTCCCCAACATCCATCCTCCCGCAGGATTCGCCACGAGCAGCTCATCCCACTACGGTAATCAATTTGAACATTTAGGCGGAAAGCAGCCTCTGATGTGTGGATGTGGGATGTCGGGATGTCGGGATGTTGGGATGTCGGGATGTTCCAGTGGAACGGGGGCTCCCAACGACACCGGAAATTCAAACTACTTCCTGTTTGGCGGTGGCATTCGTTAGCCGTGTTTCATTTTCGCTGGGATTCGCATTGGTCCGACGGATGATGGCTTGGCCTGCGATTTGATTTGTTTTCATTGTAACGAGCCTTTTATTAGCTCCACTGCCAGACCTCCTCCCCTCCGGCTTCCCCACTCCGCGCTCCCCACGGCTCCCCACGAATCCTTCGCAGCATCCCGATCCCTGCCCATTTCATCCCATCACGGCTGTTATATTGGCTCTATTGTTGTTTTAGCCACTGTGTCGTTGTGGCCCTGTTCGTTAAATGCAAACACCAAAAGGGTTTTCAGAAACAACAATCAACCAGCTCCCCCTCCCCACCCCTACCGACCCTCGGACGGACCAGCCACCCATCAGTCCACCCATCCGCAAACCAATCGCCCTGTTAAAAACCCCCGCCCTTCGTTGGCATGCGGACTGGGTCTCGATGGCCAGGATGGGCAGGATGGGCGGCATGGGCACGACAGGAACGCCAGCGGCAGGCAACCCGTTTTCGATTCTCTTTGCCGAACCCTGGCGGGCCACAGTGGAGACCATTCCACTAGCAGTGGAATGTGAAATGCTTGATTTATAGCTTCTATTTCCATCAGTTTTGTAACCATTTTCAGAAATGAAACAGAAAAATATAATAAATCTAATATGTGGCATGCACTTGCAAGCGAATTGTGAAAATAACACATCTATTTATGAATCACAAGGCGTACTAGGTGTACCTCCGCATTTGGGTGCTATTCGAGTGCCCCGTGCAGTATGCTTTTTTAATTGTCTGACATTTCGCGTGTGCCTGTGTGTGTGTGTCTGTGCGTCTGTGTGTGCCAGTGTGTGTGGGTGCGAATGGGTGCTAGTGTCGGTGTGCCTGTGCCTGTGTGCGTGCGTCTGGGTGAGTGTGTGTGTGTGTGGGGGGGGGTGCTCGTTATTGTCAGTCTGTAGCAAAGCGATTTGCATACAAATTTGGCACGAAGTGTAAATATTTAAGCAGATACAAAGTGTGAGTATTAAATTTTTGATACTAATTAATTATGCATGTGTAAATTTTGCAATGAAAATTATTATAACGCCACATTTCGGCTGCCCTCCTGATTTTGTGTGCGTGTGTTTCGAGCGCGCTTTCGCCCAATTCAAATCAAATCAAATGTTTGACAAACAAGAATCGGGATCCCAATCCAAATCCGAATCCGAGCCAGAATCGAAACGAAAACCCCATCACACCAGCTGCATTTTCGACGGCATTTGTTTATCGCAGCAGTCGCACGCCCAACCGCACTTTTTGATTTTATTGGTTATTGGGCGCATAGTTGAGCTAATTATGTAATTGGATTGAGCAAATCATCCACATCCGGCCACCCGCCGATAGACCGGCCACTGGATGGCTGCTCAAATGCGGGGATCGGGTCTGGATTGGTATCCCAGGCTGGTACTCAGACGGAAGAACTCTGGACACAACACTTGGGGGGCAATAATAACAAAACATTAGGTGCGAACAAATAGACAAACATGCTGGGAAGTTGGACAAAGCCAAGGATACAATGTAACTAACGCTTCGAATGGCGGGACTCAAGTTGATTGGGAACGCAATCGAGGAAGGGATTGGAAATGGAATAGGGATTGGATAGGAATGGATGCGAAGGTCGCAGCTCGGACACAGCAGCAGACAAAGCTGTTCGCAAAGAGGATATCAAACAAGAAATTCTATTAAAACTTTTTCACTTTCGCCTCGCACCCCATATACCGTAAGTGTTCCATTCAAAAGCCAAATATACCAATAAATAATTTACTACTCGTACAGTGGGGGTCGCCGCACAGCTCCTTTGTCCGCATTCTTAAAGCGCATTAGCCGCTCTCGGCCAGTTCAAGTCGAGTAGAAGGCACAACTTGCCAGGAGGCAGGGCGATGATAGATACAGCCACCGATGCTGGGAGTGGTGGACTCAAGTCTCCCACGGCCTCGACCGCTTTGTACCCATCTTTCGATTTTTACACAAGCCAACTTCATCATGTATTGAGAAAAATTGCCTACTTAATTTTTTGCGAAAAATGGCCAAAATGTAACATTTTAATCCTTGAATCCTTCTTAACTGAGATTTTTTCATCATAACTTTCTTGAAAATCGTCACAAACCCAAAAAAATACTGTTTAGGTCAGCTTATTATCCCAGTCAATTATCCCTATCACTACTTTGCTGATTTTGAAAAAAAAAATTTTTTCAAAAAATTTCGCATTTTTTATAAGGGGTAACATCATAATTTTTTGCGAAAAATGGCCAAAATTTAACATTTTAATCCTTGAACGCCATCCGATGGGCAATTTTATTACGAGTCCAACGAGGTATGACATTCCATACTTGGATAATTCCTTCTGTTTTTATGAACTAAAAACCGATCGGTTTTGGGCAGGAAATCAAGTTTAGCCAAATGTTGGTTCTTAACTGGGTAACATCATGATTTTTTGCGAAAAATGGCCAAAATTTAACATTTTAATCCTGGAACGCCATCCGATGGGGAATTTTATTACGAGTCCAACGAGGTATGACATTCCATACTTGGATAATTCCTTCTGTTTTTATGAACTAAAAACCGATCGGTTTTGGGCAGGAAATCAAGTTTAGCCAAATGTTGGTTCTTAACTGGGTAACATCATGATTTTTTGCGAAAAATGGCCAAAATTTAACATTTTAATCCTTGAACGCCATCCGATGGGCAATTTTATTACGAGTCCAACGAGGTATGACATTCCATACTTGGATAATTCCTTCTGTTTTTATGAACTAAAAACCGATCGGTTTTGGGCAGGAAATCAAGGTTGCCCAAATGTTGGTTCTTAACTGAGTAACATCATAATTTTTTACGAAAAATGGCCAAAATTTAACATTTTAATCCTGGAACGCCATCCGATGGACAATTTTATTACGAGTCCAACGAGGTATGACATTCCATACTTGGATAATTCCTTCTGTTTTTATGAACTAA